ATCTGCTTCTCTGAGATAAGCTTCCGGATAAACGAGCAATGATAAGTGGTTTATGCGAAGGGGCTTTGCCATCCCAGTAGATACCAACTCAATTAGCATTGGCCATTACAATAGATCCCAATGGCCATCAAGGTTTCGGAACTTGAGCTATCGCCATGTCAACTTGTTTGTCCACAAAGTCCCGAATCTGTATAAATATTAATCAAATGCAGTGGCAATCAATTAGCAACTTCTCCAAAGTAGATGCAACTATATATTGATATCTATTTTGAGACCCTGTCACCAAGATTATTCCTCACAAGAAAAATCAACGTTTCCCCCTACACCAGAGAGAGGGATACTCAAACGGGAAACTTCAAGACAAAAACTTTCGTAAGAGGTAGCTATGAGTTGTAAAGCTTTTACAAACCTTGTTTTTCCGCTTCGAGTCGAGAAATTGTGGAACAGCCATGGCTTTCTCCACATCTGTGGTTTGTAGCATTACCTGATAAAGCCAAGAGTTTCAGCAATCTTTTTCTCACTTTAGATAGAAACAAGAATCACTCTATAACTAATTCAAGAATGTTGAATGAGTAGAAAACATTCACAGACCTTTGTTGCTGTCTTCTTCATTATTGACTTGTATACATCTCTATCAATTTTCTTTGCTTTATACGGGGCCATTAGCAACGATGCAACAAAATCTACAATCCCTTGTTTCAAACGATCTGCGCCTCGGATATGCTTTTTATGTGGCTCTTTATTCACTGTAACCTGTGACATAGAACACTCATTCGTTCGTTGGTCATGCTTCCAGCTAGGAGGGCCTGTCGAACATGCAATTGAATCTTCTTCATCCTTCATGTGCAAGGCACGATTGAAAAATTCAGGATCAGCAGCAGCAGCTTGAGATTGCCACCTATCTATAGCATTATAATCCTTGAGACCATCGCTACTACCAGCAGTATCAACCCACGCCCCGGTAAAAGTACTGGTATCTGCAGCCCCACTTTCTCCAGAACATTCTCTGAACTTTGAATGAGATACAGGCTCATTTGAATGGCTACGCTGTGAGCAGTTATCGACTGGAATCCTTGTACTGTCAAGGTCAAGACAGGAGGCAGGAAAATCATACCAGTCCCGAACTTTGCAGTTCCTAGAGTCTATCTCTGACATACAATCTTGCCGTCCTACGACATTGCCAGGAAACTTTTTCCTGAAATCAGATTCGTCCATCTTTGCATACTGTTCCCGCCTGGCAAATTTATGAAACGAGGGAATCTTAGGAAGCTGCAACGACGTACTATGATAGGCCTCCGAAAATGCCTGCAAGACGAGAACATATCATTTATTTGTTAACAAACAAATAAAGAAAGAGTTGATCTAGGAGGAAAAGCACATTCCCGTCCTCGGGAGAAAATAAACACATTCAGCAAGCATTCATCAATGCATTTCACTAATTCGAAGATAAGAAAAACTTGCCTTTGCAGCTGCTTCAGCTGCCGCACGAGCAGCCTCTGCTGCAGCAAATACAGCCTTTTCTTCTTCTGACATAGGTAGCTGGTTGTCCTCAAGTTCTCCATCTGTTTTAACATCGTTGCCATTACTCAGCTTTCCCTTATTGTCTGTATCCTCATTATTCAGCTTTCTTCTTAATCTAGAGATGTTTGTAGTATTCGATTGTCTCAATGATTTCATTTCACTCTTGGCTTTTTCTTTCCGGTATAGCTCAAGCCACACATTAACAAGCTGACTTGCAATGGCACGAATATCACGGCTCGTGTGTGCACAAACCTTTTCTCTCACAGTCTTCCCAATGCCTGCATCAGCAAGTGGAAAGTATGCAACTTGGAATTAATAGCAGGGATAAAATCACAAAACTGATTGCACTTGTTATCGAATCGCAAGACAGAACCGATTGCATGTGATATAAGATGAGGTTTGGGACAGAAAGTACACTTGGAAGAAAATAACCAATACCTGAGAGTCGCACGGCAAAAAGATCACTCGTAACTCGAACAAGAATATGTACACAGTGACGTAAAAGCTGGGTTCCATTCTTCCCCATCGAATCCTAATAGAGATATATAAATATTCAAGAATAATGTAGAAAAACAAATAGAAATTCATAGAGAAGACAAAAAAGTAAGGGAACTAGCTCCCTAAGCTTACCAGGATCCAAGAGTTCAGCACTGCAAGCCCTTCTTTTGTACCTGCAAAGGATTTCAGGGTTTCACCAGGTAGGTTAAGCAACTCCTTGGCTAAATGCAAACGCCCAACAGTTGTTTTCGCAGAGAAGAACATGTTCCGAAGCAATGATTGCCTGGCCAACACATTAGACAGCTCAACAACTTCAAGCCTCTTTATTAGGTCTCTGACTTCATCCCTTACAGATACAGATTTCCTCTGCGCCTTTTCTAGTGCTTCTATTTCGGATGTGTAATCATTTCCACTTCTAAAGATATCAATTATACGCACAGCTTCCCGGACTCCAGTCATCATTGCACCACCAACAGTGTCAGGATGCTCTTTGCATGTTGCCTCACCAGCAAAAAACAAACAATTCTGAACAGGCCTTCCCAGTACATCATAATCTTCACCAGAAGCACCAATAGCAACATATGAGTAGGCACCATAACTATAAGGATCAGTGCCCCAGTCAGTAACTACCGAAGCAACAGGATCAGGCACCAGATCCCCACCAAAAAGCTTACGAAGAACCATCATTGCATGGCTTACATGCTCAGACTTACTCTTGTCTTTATAGTCAAAGGCAGCCTTCCCAACCACCAAAGCTATCAGAACAGGAGCGCCAACAGTTTTTTTTACATTCCAAAACATAAAGCACTCACCTCTTTGATCTGTTTCCTCAGCAGTTGCCCCAAAATAATCCAAGCTATCATCCCAGAATACCTTTGAGAACTCCAACACAACTTTATTTAGAACTCCAAAACCAAGTTGTTTGATTGACGAATATTTCCAGTCCGGCAAGGGTGGTGAAAACTTAATGGTTTCTGCTTTTAAGCATCCAAGAGGAACAGTTACCAGAACAGCATCTCCAAGATACTCACAGCCATTTGATGTACTAACTCTGACTTTATGCTTGCTGTTATGCATGGGAGATGCATCAGAGGCGTAAGTTACCTCAGAAACTACTTTGTTCAAGTGAATGTCCAGTCCTTCTGCAAGCGACTCAACAACTCTGCTATAACCACCCTTAATCATAGCATGCGGCCCTCCAAACCCGCCATAAAACTCATCTTGATTCCAGTTAGGAAGCGAAACTTCCTTGAGGACAGCAGCGCAACCATATTCTGTATGAGCAAAATGCCAATTCATAACTCTTCGCTCCAAGGGATTCAAAAAATCATTTTTCAAGCTTCCATCATGCGTAAAGGTACTACTAACGCCTGTTTTTGAGAAGGAGCCATCAATTGAATTACCAAGCCCAATTCTTTCAATGTTCACCTTGTCATGTGGCAACCTCAGCCGCTGGAGGCCATATTCTAGACCATCCTCAAGTGACATTTTGTTTGCTCTTTCCTTGCCTATTTCCTCAACAAGTAAATCCACATCATCAATCAGACTGTTAAACTCTGCTTGAAGAGCATCATCTAATTCTGGAGGAACCTTTTTCCCTGTTACAGTATCATAAAGAGGACAAAATCCATGCAATACACTGAACTCCAGACCTAACTGGTTACAGACCAATACCGAAGGATCCGGCATTCTTTCAGATGGCACATCAGCCTCAATGCCTGTAATTATGCTAGCCCCCAGATCCACAGGAACTGAAAGAGAGGACCGGTCTGTAAATACACGACCACCTACTCTACTCCTTGCCTCTAGAACGGTGACAGAAAAACCTTGGCGCTGTAAATGACGTGCTGCTGTCAATCCAGCAGGACCGGCACCAATGACTATTACTTTTTTCTCATCTTCAACCTCACAATGAACATTGTCCCTTCCTCTCATTTGATAACTATTTGCAGAGGACAGTGTGCTAGACAAAGCAGGTTTGGGTACTGAAATTGTTTCAGGATGCTTTTCGACCTTAGATGCAATAACATCCGCTGGTAAATCATTTTCGCTGACAGAATGTTTGCAGTCGTCAATAATGCTTACTTCGCATGTTTTGCTGGTAGATCCCAACATTGCCGAGGTCGCACATCCAACCAATTCCGTTTCATCATGCTGGAGAGCACATTTCTTACCCTCACTAGTCGATTCAACGGCTTTGACTTGACCAAGAATAAAAGCAACTCCGTCTTCAGAATCTGCAACAGAAGCCATTGAGATTTCTTCAAGCTTTTTCCCCTGGAAGAGATCATCATCTTGATTAGTCGAAGATTCCCCCTTTCCTTTCACAGATGAGATCCCAGCATTTATATAACCCTGTCAAAAGAACACCATCACATGCGGACTATTAGAAACCAGCATTTTTTCTCTTTTCAATACAAAAATGTACGGATAACTAATAGGAGACAGGATAGAATAACAATAAAATGTAACAGCACAGACTTACTCTCTGATCAAGAAACTTATAGACCTCTCTGATAAGGGAAGCTGAAGGCAATTCACTCTCAGAAGGGCCACTAGCAATACCACACTCAGTGATAGGTAAGATTCGGCTGACATTTTTACTCCACAGACCTAAAATAGAATTTCTGTATCACCACAGATGTCAGTTCTAATTCAAACAAAAAAAGTAGAAAAAAGAGATTAAGATAGTCTTCAAGAGTACAAAAATGAAACAAACTTTTATACAAGAGTACAAATCTATAAAAGTTAGAATAAAAATATTGTTCCAAGTAAAATTATTGAAAATGAAATGGACAAGAAACAACTTCAAAATCCTTGAATCTCATTAGTAGCCTAGACAAACAATACAATACAGTACATATGCAAGGTTTCCAACGAATGATGAAGGTAAAAGAGAGATTGACATCTTAAGGTACACCCTTCTCATAGGACTTAAGGAAATACATATCATACAAGATCGGAACAACAGAACCATGTATTTGAATCCATAACAGCTATGGAAAAAGAAACTAACCTGCAGACTAGGTACTCCTGATGGCTACCTTTGCGCTTCAACACCTCTTTTAGTATAATCTTCTCAATTGGACTTACCGACTGGGCTTTAAGTCCAGCTGCCACCGCAGCTGCTCTACCAAGTTCAGTTTCCTTGGAAATAAATGGAACAAAATCACACTTGTCGCTCCCTTTAAAGGACTTGTCACTTTGACAATCAAGAAAGCCTTGCTCATTCTCCCAGTTCATATCTCCTTCATACACCATGTTTCCAAGCTTACGCTTTTTAGCAATGCGCTCTGGACGTTGCAAGGTGGATGGCTTCCCAGAATTCGGTAATGAAATTGCTTCACCCCGGGAATTTTCATCTTCGCAGGGAGTTACTGAAACCGGGGAATCTTCAGCAGTTCCATCTTTGAGAGTAGTAACTGGGATACCACCTCTGTTAGAAGCAGCATGGTTTGAAGAATACTTGCATTTCTGACAGATAGCAACCTGAGTATTAGACTCAAAGGAACGATCCTCAAAATTCACTTGGATGCCACAATCACACGTAACTAACTGTTTCTCTCCGATATAACCAGACTCTGATTCTGGCTCTCCCAAGTGTAAAGGCTGATCAGGAGAAATAACTGCAACTTCTTTTCTAGCAACAGGAGGGTAAACTTCTCCACGGACATTTGGCAGTAGTCTCTTGGATTCATCATCTGGAAATTGATGAAAGACATCTGCTTCCTTCTCGCTGGATAGTGTCATGGGCATTTCAACTTTTTCATGAGCGGGAGAGGCTGCCTCATCCTTACCAGAAAACTTATGCAGGAGAGTTCCAGTTTCTGAAGTACACTTTTCAATAGAACTAGAAGCACCGTTTTCGGATATGCAATTCACTCTTTTATTCTTCGTGCTGCAATCCAAGAGAGGCTTGTGAGCGTAACATTCTAAAGTTGAATCAACCATCTTCTTGACAGCCAGTGTCTTTGAGCAAAGCGATTCAGCCCCAGCCCCAGCCTCATTAGAATCAATCGTTGATCTTGTTCTTGATATAACCTTGGGTTTATAGACATCATGCAAGAGCCTTTCCTTTACAGTACCACCATCCATGCCAAGCTCAGATGCATCGTCAAGCATATCATGACCTTCCTCACTCAAGTTCAAATCAGAACTCGTTACATTGTCAATCGGAGGAAGATCCTTGTGGTTCCTAATCCTTGAAATTCCAGATCCAACACTTTTCTTTTGCCCCTTCAATCTCTTCCTAAAACTGGCTAAGGTGTCATCCATATCTTCAGAATCACTCGATTTCTTCTCCACAGCCTGTTTCTTCCTCTGTTTACCCATACTCTCTGTCTCAACTTTATTCTTCTTGGCAGTTTTATGCTTCATAACCTTTAAGAGAGATCCGATAGGTTCATCATCATCATCATCAGCGTCAAACTGAGCAATCTTAGATCCTCTCTTGGAACCACATTTCGTCCCCTTTCCATCCATATTAACTCTTTCTTATTCCTCAAAACCAATCTCAACTCAATGCAATACTAACTAAAAGACTCCCAAAATCGAGAACAGAGCTTCTCGCCTGAGAAATCAACCACGCATATCACTACAAATCCAGCCCCCAAATCGACCATGAGAAAAGAATTATACAATGAATTGGGCCACTAACCGTTAGAAGACAGTGACGAGCGAGAAAATTTGAGTCTGCTCCGATTAAGAATTCAAGATGAGTCTTTCGTTGGGAGGTTCTGAGATATCGTCCTTTCCAAATTTCCACGGGGAGTTACAAGATCAAATTCTAGGGTTTTCTAGCAGAGTGAGCTCGAAACCTTGAACCAGAGCAAAACGAAAAAAAAAAAGGAGAAAAGAAATGAGCTACGGCCAAAGACGATTGGGGCAAAGCGAATGCATAATACAGAATCAAACGCCAGAAACAGTGGATTTAAAAAGGGAGCTCAGAGCAAAAACAAATTCCGGTGCGAACCAGGTTCAATACTTGATTTAGGGTTTACAAAACACTCTCATTCGCTGGGAGATTGAAACTATATGAAATCGAAATTGAAATACCATCAGCAGTAGCCGAAGAGCCTTTACCTTCGTCTAGATCCCAGAAGCCACGCTTGCTTCTTCAATGTTTCAAAACCCAAACGAACATGGTGAAGCTAATTTAGGAAATTAACCGATTAAAGAATAGAGTGTTGGCTTATTGGGACGTACCGATCAGAACGCTCCAAAACGCTGCGTTTTGATCTGTATCGCGGCTGTGTGAAAAAAACTTGATTCTACTAAAATCTGGGTGGGTGGGACATGAAAAGACCAAACATAAAAACTCTTTACATACGCAACTCATAAAAACTGAGACTCCAAATTTCAAAAAAACATTTTATGACTTGAAGATCATCCAAATACACACTACACTGGTGTCTCAAGTGATATCAACAATATATTTTGTGATTTATATTTACTTATTTCTCATAGACATTGCACATATTTTTTTCATCAATAAAATTATATATATAGTGATTATCTTACTATAAATTTAGTTAATAATAATTATCTTACTAAAACATATGTAACTAGTATCATGACCTTTGCTATGCAGACTCAAAACCAAACCATGTAATGAAAAAATGGGGACGGGATGGTGTAAATGAAATAAAAAAATCAATCAAACCGGACTAAATACATGGCAAGTAAACCAAAAATTTGCTGAGTGATATTATTTAAAATGTTCTGATTGGCTGGACGTTTTAGATGTGGTGTCAGCTTCGGAAAGCTTAAAAAACCAATGTGTCATCATATGGAGAGACATAGGGGGTTTTATTGTATTGATTTAATAAGAGTTGAAAATTAAATAAAAAAACTTTATTAATTTGTATTATAAATAGGAAATGTTAGTTATTACAAACTAAAAAACAGTTGTTAGTGGCAAACGAATGGTTATGAATGCAAAAACATATGAAATCGAGTGCTAAAAACATGCAAAGTATGAACACATCATTGATTTCATTTGTAGAAATATGAACATAAGTTATACACCATGTCTACAAATCATAGACTATTGAACACAATGTAGAAATCATATTTTGTTGTTAGTAGAATAGAAGGCAACAAGTATAAATTTTACTATCAATGTTTGAATACGTATAAATTAAAAAAAAAAAATTTAAGGCATCTTTTAAAAAATATGCTTATGACATCTTTTAAAAAATAAAAATGCCATAACATTCTTCATATTTTTCTTCCATTGTTATGAATTTCTTTTTTTTTAAATGACATTTTAAAATATTTATTTCATAATTATATACATTTTACAAGAGTATTTTTAAGTAAAAATGATATATTTCAAAAAAATGTAAATGGGGACAAATTGTTAGTTTTTTTAGCCTATATTCACAAATCTTCCCTTTTCTTTCCTATTTCAATTTGCAAAGATATACATATTCCATCAATAATCATAACTTTCAAGCCATTAACGAAAAATAAGCACAAATCAGAAGAATATTGAAAAGAGAAATTCTAAGAAATACACATTTTGAAGTGTAAATTTTCAAAGCTACACCTCTAGTGTGGCAATTTTCAAAAATACACATTTTCATAATTTTAATATATATGTTTGGGTTAACTAATCTTTTATTAAGATTTAGATTTGGAGGTTTAGGGTTTAGATTTAAAAGTTCAATGTTAGATTTTAGGGTTTTGGATTTATATTTTAGGGTTTAGAGTTTTTTATTTAAAGGATAATACAAATTGTTTACCAAAGTTGTTCAAAAAAAAAAAAAAAAAAGTTTACCAACCAAGCTGGTGGCAGGTAAAAAGAACTAAAGAAAATATTAGATTAATACGCATATTTAGCTATTTTATCTGCAGCACTATTCCTTTCTCGATTGATGAAACCAAGAGAACAATTTGGAAGTTTAGACATCCAATATCGAACATCTTCTAGAAGGCTGGCAAGCTCTATATTTTCCTTCTTCATATTGACGATATTGACCAATGGTAAACAATCTCCTTCAAACCAAACATTTCGCCATCCTTTAACCCAAACCATTTGGAGAGCTTGTAGAAACGCTGATGCTTCTGCTTGCAACGACGAATGGATACCTTCAATATGAGCAAAATCAGAGTCGATATATGCACCTTTATGATCCCATCTGACAATCCAACCTAAACCACTATGTTCACTATCAGAATGAAAACTACTATCAAAGTTACACTTCAACCAACCTTGTGGAGGTGGTTCCCAAGTAGTACCTCTATCGATAAAGAAACTATTAGTTTGTACTTGGACACTTGATGTTGCTGCTATCCATTCCATTACTCGCTCATAAGCTCGCTTTGCAACCTCCATAGGATGTGCATTCCTTTTATTGAAAATAAATTCATTCCTTGGTTTCCTTAGAAACCAAATAATCCAAAAGGGTTTAAGGCGTACCTCTTCTGAAATTGCAACGGCTTGATAATTCTGAATCATTCTCTGAAGTGAGTCCTCCAAATGTGTCTTCATAGTGAGCTAGATTAGAACAACCCCAAACTGCTTGAGCATGTGCACGATCAGAGAGTGAGTTCAATGTTAGATATTAGAGTTTAGAGTTTAGAATTCTTTTGCATATTGAAAAAAATGTAGTTTTGAAAATAGATACCATAATAAATGTGTAGTTTAGAAATTTACAAGGCCGCTATAATTCAACCGCACATTTAAATAAAGTCCATCGGTTCAAATTTCAACTGTACCACCGGCCAGGCACAATCAAGACCGGTTTTACTGTATTTATACCGCTCAAATCGCAGAGTACGCTTGTCACTTTGTGAATGTGAACATTCGGACCAACATCAAAATTTCCAGCAAACTATTGATCTCATCCATTTTACATTCTCGTTTGTCTCACACAAATCCCGATTCCTCTAGGGTTCCAAATCCTTGGACTGGAATTGCAATTCTGTCTTAATTGCCCCAAATCGTCAAGCTGGATAGGCACCGAGGGGATCGCCATGGGAGTGGCGGTTACGAGGACCCATACCATAGCCACCGAGCTCATCCCAGAGGCCCCTCTCGTCACTCAGATTCTCCCTCCATGACACGCTACGACGAAGATGATGAGGCTTTTTGCCACCACCGTCGTCGGGGAAACAGCCCGAGCAGTTATCGAGTTGGAATTGGGGGCGGAGGAAATGGCGGTCGACACTGGGAAGGTGACAGCCCTCCGGATCGTGATGTTCACGGAGAAGGTGGAGGTTTCCGCCCGATCAACGCTCCTCCAGGTAGAATCGATTTTCAGCCGATGGGTCCTCCTCGCGATAGTGGAAGTTTTCGGCCGATGGGTTCTGACGGAGCTAGCGGAATTCGACCTAGAGGGCCCGTGATGTTTCCGCCATCGGAAAGTCCAGATGAATGGGGATTTTCCGGCGGCAGGGTATTTCCGGCACCGATCGGTAAATTAATGGAGCCTGATTACTCTGTAAGATTGACTTCACCGCCGGCCCAGCAGCCTCTTTCGGGTCAGAAAAGAGGGCGTCCTCTCTCGGAGCCTGGCAACTTTACTGGAACTGGTAAGCTTGGGCTCACTCTACGATGATGATCTCTTGTTTTTGTTGGATTCAAAGATAGAGTAACGCAGTGTAATCTACTTTTCATGTAATTCGATTGTTGAAGGTGTTTCATTGATCTTTCCATTTTCACTTGTATGTGATAATCAGAGCTATTTCCCTACTTCATATGTAAGCATCCTTAGCTGGTAATTTGTTTTGCAGATGTTTCTGATCGTGCTAGTGTTGTCAAGCTTTTTGTTGGCTCAGTACCGAGGACAGCTCTAGAAGAAGAAGTGAGTTAATCTGTAATTTCTTTCTTTCTTAATTGTTCTTTATGTGTGCACATTTGACACCACAAAGCTCATATATACTCTTTTCGTATCAAATCCGTTCTTGTTGAGATTACTTTTTCTAATTTTGATCTGTTGGTTTTTATATTCCAGGTACGTCCCTTGTTCGAACAACATGGAAATGTTCTTGAGGTTGCTTTGATCAAGGACAAGAGAACTGGACAGCAGCAAGGTATGTTTATCTCCATTTTACTAGTGATTATATTATTTTTTAAGTTTCAGGTCTCCTGAAAAGGCTGACGGGAAGCAACCCCAGTCTCATCATTGGCCTCTGTGTTCGTTTATCACAGAAGAAGGCTCCCTCGTGTAGCTTGCTAAGAAATGTATTGTTGGTCAAATATGTTCCGCTACTTGTGTCTATTCTAGAACTTTAGATGTGTTTGAAAAATGTAGCAGACTTTATTGAGGGTGTTTTAGCGTTGAAGTTAAATGTACAGAAAACTTAACAGATGTTTTGCTATTTCCTTTATAGTGGGTTATTGGTTTAAAGAACGCGGCTACCGAATTCAATTTTTCTCTTACTCTTCCTTTCAGTGAATTGAAAATATTGTGGTTGAATGTATGTTTAGGTTGGTAGTTTTACAAGATGGTTTGGTTTATTGCCAGTCCTTGTGGTCAAGATCTGGCCATTCTTATTAATTATATAATGTTGGATGTTTGGCGTATCTACGTCCAGTTTTCGATGTGCTCTCTCTATTGGTTGATGATTGAATTCCGTTTACCTTTTTGGATGCTTGATACTGGAATGAATGCCCTTTTCCCTTTATTTTGTTGTGGATGGTTAAGTTTACTACGATAACTGTTCTTCCTTTTCCCTCACTTTGAATGGCCTGAGATGTGGATTTGTTGTATGTTCTCCTCTCTCTATTGCTTGGACGGTTTGTGATGTGATATATTATCTCTCGTCATTTTGTATTAAGTAGCTCTTATGTTTTTGTATGGTGACTTATATTTATGTGAAAGAGATGTCTGATGATGGATTTGTTTCGTATGTTATTCTTTAGTTTGTTTAGTGGTCTAATCCTCATTATTGAGTTTCCTCTTGTACAATTCCATTAAGTTCTGTCTTTATCTTGTCAGTATGAAGCATTAGTAGATGGCGAATGACGTGATTGTATGTGTTACATAGTTATTTATTAATTCTCGACTTTCTAAAAAGTTATTGTATCTATATCTGGTACACCTTTGTGAATTGCATACAAGTGCATTTGATTGTGGTGGCATAAAGCCTTTACTCATTTGGTAGTTTTACAAGATGGTTTGGTTTATGCAGTATTTTCCACGCAACTCTTTCCTTCAGTCCTGTGAAATATTAGGTGGTGCCTTAATTCCTCAGAATACTTATTGATGTTAAATAATACAACTTGACTTTCACTCGCTCTCCTTGCATCGATCAGCATCAGGCAGTATCCTAATTATGTATTACATGAAGCAAGTGTAATTCTTTTCTAAAATTGGTATTGTTTCCTATGCAATACCTTTGGATTATGGTTTTCTTGATAACTGTAGTTTATCTTCTTAAGTCGCGTGATGTATGGTGACAAAAATGTGATATGTTGTTCTGGTTTTAATTATATTATCTGTTAGTAGCGATGATTGAGAATATTTTTCCATGCTGAATCGTTTACCTTGGTCCTGTAGCCATGTTTTATGTTGGTACGTACGTGTAGATTTTTCTAATTTTTTTTCCCCCAGTGCATGGATATTATCTGTAGATATGTTATCTACCAACAGTCTCCATTTTTAAATATTTTCCCCTTATGCTCCGTTTGAAGATATTAGTATTCTCTTCAACAACTTTACTCCAATGATCTAAGTGGAGGCTGTCAGGATATGTCTTATGATTTTTCTACTGAACTTATGTGCTTTGAGTGCCGTTTATTTATTCAAGAATGTGGTTGTGGCGCTTGTAATGCAACTATATTACTCGTACCTCTTGATGTTGATAGACGGAAAAGTTGAACCATGAACAGACAGCTTAAGTATCAGTCTTTAATGCAGGCTGTTGTTTTGTAAAATATGCAACTTCTGAAGACGCGGATAGAGCCATTAGAGCGTTGCACAATCAGATCACTCTTCCTGGGGTAATTGCCACCGAAGCTTTCTCTTATCAAGAATAGGAAAATACAGGTTGTTTCACCTTTTATGTTTTGATTCCCAGGGAACTGGCCCTGTTCAAGTTCGATATGCTGATGGGGAGAGAGAACGCATCGGTAATCAACTTCCGAAGTTATTATCTTAATGTGGCTTTTAATGTCTGGTTTACATGGGGATTACCGTACACTATAAATTCAAATTACAAGAACTGAAATAATATGGGATATGAATTTTAAGGAAACGGATCCTTTTCTCTGTTCTCTTAGCCTCACTCTCAAGTCACAACTGATTTAATTCCCTTCTTTTGAAGGTGCGTTAGAGTTTAAGCTTTTCGTGGGTTCAGTAAACAAGCAAGCCACTGAAAAAGAAATTGAGGAGGTATGTCTCATATCCCAACTTTTGATGGAAGACGTTACTAATGGCAGATTTACCGAACAGGGAACAGTTCCATTTTTAGATGTTAATTTGCACTGTTGCCTTGGTTGATAAAATGATTTTATGATAATTTTTATTAATTTTCCTAAAGGGCCCATGGCTTGAAGAGTTCTGTCAGTTATGCAAGCGCTTACATTTAGTAACTGAGTATTCTCTTCTTTCAAGTAGATCTAACTGTTTGACCGTCAATTTTTTTCCCTCCGTATATAAAATCGATAATGATGTGAATGTCTACCTTCTGAATCATTTGTGTCAATTTTCCCTGTATTCCTTCGATGAACTGTGTGATTGTTGTTGCTTGAACAGATATTTTTGCAATTTGGTCGCGTGGAAGATGTCTACCTCATGCGTGATGAGTATAGACAGAGTCGTGGTATGTCTGGTTGCTACTAGATTCTATGAATGGTTTGATACGTGATGGTGTTGTGATGGTCAACCTATGTTTTTTACTCATGTAGGATGTGGGTTTGTTAAATATTCAAGTAAAGAGACGGCAATGGCAGCTATCAATGGTCTCAATGGAACTTATACGATGAGAGTAAGCTGTGAATCACATAAGTATCTCAGTTTCTCACGTTATCACCCTTTGGGCTTGACTTGTTGACTGGCCTCTATCCCTTCTCCAGGGTTGCAATCAGCCATTGATTGTTCGGTTTGCTGATCCAAAGAGGCCTAAACCTGGCGAGTCGAGGTATTGCCTTTGAGACAATATTTTGATTCCTTCTAATGCTTTTATATCTTCATTCTTTGTTCTGTCTTGAGTAACATTTATGGAGAATTTTTTGGGGCATGGGTAGAGAGTTGGGAACCTTCTTCCTTATCCAGTTATTACTGGAATGCTAGCCTTGCTTTCTATATATCCATAAGTAGTTTCTGTTTCCAGGGATGTGGCACCTGCTGTGGGACTTGGTTCAGGGCCTCGTTTTCAAGCTTCAGGACCAAGGTAACTGGGGTGAAAGGAGATCATGATTATTCTCATCAAGTACATATCTATTTTGACTAATCAATCCTGGTCTCCCCGTCTCTATTTGTTAGGCCTACATCTAACCTTGGTGACCCTAGTGGGGATGTAAGCCGCACAAACCTGTGGCGTCCACCAAATTCACCAAACATTGGCCCACCTAGTAATACTGGGATCCGTGGTATTGGGAGTGACTTTTTCCCTAGACCAGGTCAGACAAAACTGCCTTCAAATCAGGTGAGAACAGCTTGATGATCATGTATATCATCTTAGATCTACAAATCCATACAAGTAACGCACATAATCTTTTTGCACGTACTTCTAAATACTGCACACATATAATGATGTCTACTTCTGATGTGAGCTTTTGTATATGTGGCATTCTGTAATATTAGGGCGGTCAATTGGGTGGTTATGGTGCTCCTCCCCTTAATCCTCTTCCAGTTTCTGGAGTTTCATCATCTGCCACATCGCAACAGGTACTTTAGC